TGGGTTCGATTCCACCCTCAGGTGACTGTCTGTGTGGAGTTTGCACATTCTCCCTGTGTCTGCATGGGTTTCCTCCGGGTGTTCCAGTTTCCTCCCACAGCCCAAAAGGTGTGCAGGTTAGGTGGATTGGCCATGGTAAATTGCCCGCAGTGTGCAGGGATGTGCAAGCTAGATGGATTAGCCATGGGAAATACCCTTCAGAGGGTCAATGTGGACTGAATGGGCTGAAGGGCCTGCTTCTACACTCCAGGGATTCAACAAACATGGTCAGAGACCGACCATATAAACTCCACTGCGAAGACGTGAGAGAGAACGAAAAACAAAACCCATTTGGAGACGCTCACTCCCTCAGGACAATGCTGGTTCTCTCAACCCAAAGACCTGTGACTCCAGGATTGGTCTGCTGGCTTGCCTAAGGGCACACCGATGATGATGATGCCAGGCAAACAAACATCAACCTCATTTCAAGGGGCAGATGAGAACAAATGTGCAAGTTCATTCATTAGGGCAGATCCACAGTGCAACCTTCCAGCCAGTGACTAAGTCTATATTTCTCGCTGCCCCAGGACAGCAGCCAACATCACCAAAGATCCCTCCCCGTCCAGTTATAATCTCTTCCATTGGGCAGAAGATACAAAAGCTTAAACGCACAGACCAACAGATTCAAGAACAGCTTCCTCCCTGCTGTTATCAGACTTATGAATCGATCTTGCTCTTTGTGTGCCTTCTATGCCGCCATAACATTATATCCCTCACTACGTTCTACTACCCCTATCATCTTCGACTGGTATGAGCTGCCTGTACTGTACACAAAACAAACTTTACTGTACCTAGGTACATGTGACAATAATAAATCAAATCAAAACAGCCACAAAATTCACCAGTGAGACAACCATACCATCTACAGCAGGAGTTCATATACAAATGGGCCGTATTGGTTTCAATCAGTCTCTCCAGTAGATGGTAGGAACTGCTGTGTCATAAACACAGGCAAATAATGAAATATGACCAGACAGTGAACATAAAAATCTCCTTGGCTTTTGTTTTAGTCTCAAGCTCAGCGGACAACTCTTATCGTGTTAGCAACAAGATCTCTCTCTTATCAATGTGACAATCTAGGCTGTCATCAGTTATCACGGTTGAGACAGATATTTCCATTCATTCCCAATCCACCGCCATAAATACCCTCAACCTCACCACCGAGGGACCACAAATGGTTGTTTTTTCACAAATTATTGGGGATGGGATGAGCTCTAACTGCCCACAGGCAGGTGAGGCTGGGAAAATTAAAAGTTTCCCCTCTGAATGCTAGTGCCAAGATTAAGCCATAATGTGCAGATGGCAACCAACCTAGTAGCAGCAGGGCGTTAATTAAAGCCTTTGAGGGACCAACAGTCTCACAGCACGACAGCAGATTGATGGAGGCAAACAGTTTTCATCCTTTGTATCTGTAGCTCATTTCCTCACAGAAGAAGCAGGCACAGAGGGTGACTGACTAATGTTTAAAGGAGCTGAAAGGTCTCAACCAGCACATTTGTTGGCAAATGCCGTCATTTGGAGACAACGTCCACATAGACTGATTCCTGAGCTGCTATTTATTGGGTGCCATTTCCAGTAGGAGAGTAAGTGTCTCCTTCTTATAGTACTTTCTCGCTCTCCATCAGTCACCTTCCCCACCAAAGGTCCAACCAGCCCTCACTTTAGCCCTCCAATTATCTCCCTCCTCAGTGTCTGATGGCCTCCATGCACAATGAGACTTGGCCAAGAACCAAGACTTCCATTAGTTTGTTACCACAGGGGCACAGATGGGAGGTGATTCCTTGATTGGTAGGTTTACAAGTGTTTAATCAGTGATCTACTTTGTCACTGGCTCAATGTTTACTTCCACAAAGTAAAGAGGTCTTGCACTTATAGTTTCGGTTATTGAAACTTTGAAGTGTCTGGTGATTAACATGCGGCAGCATGTTTTTAAGGAAGTTACCCAGTGGTTATTACTTTAAAACAATTCCACACATGCCATTGGTATGATAAGATCCATTGGTTTGTAAAGAGGAAATTCTGAGTGATTGGGCCATGGAAGTACCATAAATGGACACAATGTATGAGGGGCAATTGGAGGTGGTTGGAGAGACATAGGAGTCATGGATAATACCTTTTGAAGGTAACTTTCAAAATGTTCTCAAACCCAGACTGTGGCTCAAGATTCCCCTGAGAAGCCAAGAGCCATGAGTGTATAAGAAACTAGATTCCATAATAATTACATGGGACCTTAGTGGTGCCATCTCTTGCAATGAAGATGGCCAGGTTGCCAACGGAATCTTCTCCCCCACAGAGGACAGCAGAAATGGGGGCAGGAATCTGGTCCTGTCTACCATTTATGCAAGTCCATAGTGTTTTTACAACTCCACGATAATCCAACCCATTATTACGAATCCCATGAGCTCTAATTTTACCATGGATTCCAACCTACATGTTCATACAAGTAGGCAAGGTGAAAACCTCCTTTAAAATGTAGCATCTGAAGTATTTATTTGACCATTCCCCCCCACCAAGGATCCTTGGATCTGTCCCATCTGATACTTTTCTTGTGATTACCATATCTCATATTGCTTTAAGGGGGCCGGTTAGCTCAGCTGGTTGGATGGCTAGCTCACAATGCAGAGTGATGCCAAGAGTGAGGGTTCAATTCCTGCATCAGTCAAGTCCTGGTCACCCTCAGGTTAAGCCACCACCAGTTGTATCTCTCTAATGAGAGAGAGCCCTATAGTCTGGCAAGAATGTGACAACTTTAGCTTTTTATTACTTTAAACCAATTAGGGATTTATTGCAGCTCCAGACTTATTAACTGAATTTAAAAAGCCACCAGATGCAGGGGAGAGTTTGAAACCTTTCCCCAAAGCATTCACCTGGGGATCTGGATGACGAGCCTGGTGGCACTACCACTACTAGCACCACTACCTTCTAAAGTCACAGGATTTTTCCTCAAACATTTTAGAAATTGGCTGTCTTTAACTAAGATACACAACATCAAACTGACCTAGTTTAAAAGGCAATTAAACACAGAACACGGTTGGAACTTGCGTACCAGGCAGAACTTAATCACATCAGGGGGTCGTCATCAGAGAAGCAGCCTGCTGAAGGTTGTGATTCACTGAAGTGATGGGAATATGCAGATGGTGCTGCAAGATCACATTAACCATCTGGACTGTGAGTCAAACTGCTCATGTTTCTCCAAGGTACTGAGTTAGGTAGCAAAGGTTAACTCGACTAGCAGGCGCATTCATAAGCGGACAGGATACTCATTACCTGATGAGCTATGATGGATGCCAAGTGTGTTTCAACAGTGTGGGATTTGTGTGATTAAAAAGGTTTATGAAAATGTACAACAGCATTTGTGCAGAGCCTACTCCATGTGGGTGGAAAGAGACATAATTGGGTGCTCCCCACAGAAGGTAATATCTGTCACGGAATAGATAATCTTAGTTGCATTCGTTGTACTTCATCTTCAACTTTCAAAAACATCATATTACTCACGGCAAGTCAACTAATTCTGGCAGCATTTGTGGAGTGAGAAGCAGAGTTAATGTCCTAAGCCGAATATGATTCTTGCCCAAAATAAAAGTTATATTGGACTAAAAACCTTAACACTGTTTCCCACCTTACTACTGAGTTTTTCCAGCACTTTGTTTTTTCAATATTTCAGAACTCCAGCCTCTGCAGTATTTTGCTTTTACTAACCAAAGTAACAAGATAGCCTTCTCGTCTAGCAGAAACCAGATTGTAACAGTGATTCAGTAGAAGCGCAACAGTAATCTAAATGACAGTTAAGGTATTCTTAGAATCTCTCTCATCTCTATATAGTTCAGTTGCTGATATGCACATAAAAACTACACGAAAACAAAGCTAGTGACAGCAAGAACTGGTTTCCATGAAACAATGGGAAGCACATACTAATTGCATCAGAGATAGTAGGAACTGCAGATGCTGGAGAATCCGAGACAACAAGGTGCAGGGCTGGATGAACACAGCAGGCCAAGCAGCATCATAGGAGCAGAGATTATGAATCCCAGTCAGCGTGTACTTAAGTGATGCACTCATGATATCATCTTCATCATAGTCCATTTTACCTCAGATCACTACTGGAAGCATGCTGCTCTGTTGACTTGTATAGCTTAATATTAGCCGAAACACTAAAAGCCTGAGGAATGTTTGTACATACTTGGTTGTAATAAACGTCTGTTGGATTCTTCAATACCATTATAGTGAAACCCAGTTTCTTCCACTACAGGAAATGACAGAAGCATTACCTCACAGGGTAAAACATCTCATTGGAGGCAAACTGATACCAGCAGTTGATAAGGAATATGAAATAATTCACAAAAGCCAGTAGCTTGTCACCAGTCTCCTGTTATTTACACACAAGCAGTCGTTGATGTTAGTACTGATTAGGCATTTCTGAAGAAGGGTCCTGACCCAAAACGTCAGCTTTCCTGTTCCTCTGATGCTGCCCGGCCTGTTGTGTTCCTCCAGCTCCACAACTGTGTTATCTTGATATTAGTACTGACTCATTCGGAGTCAGTTCTCAGAGTGTCAGTGTCTCTGACACACTCTTTTTTATCTGTCAGCCAGGGCTCCCTGATTGGATCAGATTAACAGTCTCAGTGAGAGAACTCATTCTGTGAAGACCAGTGGCTGCCCTCATTACAATCACTGCAGAAATCACTAAAAGTAGTGCGTACAACTATCTTCAGCACACAAGCCCTACTTTAAATTATATAATTTCTATTATAATGAATTTGTCAATGAAATATAATCTGTTACTGAAATCCACTTTACTCCTCAAGACTCTGAAAGTGTTTCAGTACTTGTAATCCTCAGTTGCCAAAAAGCTTCTTGGGCAATAAATATCCACTGAGCTTATTCCTCAAAATAGGTTATGGGTTTCCAACAATAAACTGAACTAAACACAGAGAAGAGCACTTGCAAAAGCTAACTCCTACCTCAGTCGTTCTTGTTCCTTCTTTCGTAGATCAAAATCCCGCTGGACAACCTGCAGCACATGTTCAGCTTCATCGTCTGTCAAACCAGACAAGTCAAGGTTTTTTCCCATGCTTTCTACCTTGTTCCAAGATGCGCTTCAATCACCAGAAAGAATACCTAAACCAGAAGAAAAGGGTCTGAACACATTAGGATATCCAACTGCTTTGATCTACCCTTACACGAGACTGGCACATAACAGGGCTCAGGCTCTTTTATTTACAATCTGTTGTCGCTCAAAACAAAATATTCATAACACCTGAAAATTTACATTGATTTGATTATAACCTTCTGAGCTCAACATAGAAGCCAAAATTTCAGGTCATGATCATTGCTCCCATTTCTCTCCAGATAACTGACTTTTGTGATGGTAATGCTGCTGACATGTACATCCCTTCTACCCATCTTATAAGTTCTTTGTTGGCCCATGAGTGTTTCATTTCACCATGCCCTATCAATCTTTGGCCATTTAATCTCACCTGCCCTCCAGCAGACATAAACCTCCCCTTTTGTTTTTCCCATCTTAGCCCACTTTCCTTGCCAATGTACTCAGTTAAAACCCATGACATAGATTCCAGGGTTGGTTACGCGACCCTTCAAACCTGCTCCACCATTCAATAAGAACATGGCTGATTGGATAGCAGCCTCATCTCCAGTTGACTCTCCTGTACCAAAAATGGTCCAGAAATGGTCTCACCAACACCCATGCAGCTGCAGTAAAACTTCCTTATTTTTACATTGTATTCCACTTGCAATAAATTCCAAGATTCCATTTGCTTTCTGAATCCCTTGCGGTACATGTAAAATAACATTTGGATGCTCAGTAGTACAGGGGTCTGCAATCTCTTGCCATTTAAATAGTATGCTACTTTTCCATTCTTCCTGTCAAAGTTTACATTTTCCAATATTAAAATGACATCTGCAAAATGTTTCAGAGATAGTAGGAACTGCAGATGCTGGAGAATCCATGACAACAAGGTGCAGGGCTGGATGAACACAGCAGGCCAAGCAGCATCATAGGAGCAGAGAGGCTGAC